CGCTGCGCGGACCACCCCCGACACCACGATTGAAATCCTGACGCGATTTTCCGTAACAAGGCGCAGGCCGCGATCAGGTCGATCGTCGAGGCGCGGCCCGATGTATACAACCACAATCTCGAAACGGTCCCCGGGCTGTATCCGACGATCCGACCGGGCGCGCGCTATTATGCGTCGCTGCGCCTGCTGGAAGCGTGAAACGCCATGACCCGTCGATCTTCACCGTCAGGTATCATGCTCGGCTTGGGCGAGGAGCGGCTGGAGGTCCATCAGGTGATGGACGATATGCGCTCGGCCGATATCGATTTCTAACCATGGGCCAGTATCTTCAGCCCACGCCGCGTCATGCCAAGGTGGCGGAGTTCGTCACGCCCAAGGCGTTCGACGCTTATGCCGCCATCGCGCGGGCCAAGGGCTTCCTGCTCGTCGCCAGCTCGCCACTGACCCGGTCGAGCTATCATGCCGGTGATGATTTCGAGCGGCTGCGCACCGCGCGCGAGGCGAAGCTCGCAAGCGCGCGCTGATGCCCAAGCATAGCGAGACACGGCATCTGCCCTACACGCCGGAGCAGATGTTCGATCTGGTCGCCGATGTCGCGCGCTATCCGGGTTCCTGCCCAGGTATCGGCGATGCGCGTGCGGTCGGATTCGGACGAAGAAACGGTCGCCGACATGATCGTCGGGTTCAAGGGCCTGCGTGAAACCTTCACCAGCCGAGTTACCAAGACCCGGCCGGAGGCGATCGATGTCGAATATCTCGACGGACCGCTCAAATATTTGCGCAACAACTGGCGTTTCCGGCCCGAGGAGCAGGGCTGCGCGGTCGACTTCACCGTCGATTTCGCATTCAAGAACCGGGTGTTCGAGATGCTGGCGGGGCAGGTGTTCGGCACCGCGCTGCGCCGCATGATTGGCGCGTTCGAGGATCGCGCCGCCAAGCTTTACGGCAGCAACAGTTCCAGCGCCAACAGCGCCGCCTGAAACCGGATACCGCCGCGCCCGATATCGCCGAATTCGTGGCGTTCGGCCTTCACCGCTTCCGGATCGCCACCACGTAGCGCTGGGCGAAGACGACGGTGCCGACCGGCTTCTTCGCCGTACCGCCGCCGGGGCCGGCGACGCCCGTAATAGCGACCGCGATATCCGCATCACTGGCTGATGGCGCCCCTTTGCGCCATCGCCCGGGCGGTGGCGGTGGAGACCGCGCCGAATGTCTCGATAAGCTCCGAGCTGACGCCCAGCAGGTCGATCTTGGCCTTGTTCGAATGGGTGACGAACCCGGCCTCGACCACCTCGGACAGCCGGGTTTTCAGTCAGGGCGGCGGACACCAGCCCACCGGTACAGCTTTCGGCCAGTGCGACCCGGCGACCGATCGCGCGGTTGGCAATGACGACCCGTTCGGCCAGTGCGACCAGATCGGCGGGAAGAAGCACGTCCATCAGCGGTTTCCGTTCGGACAGAGCGGCAGATCAGGCACCGCAACCTGCCGGCCGCGCGCCTTTTCGCTTTTCAGATATTGGAGCGCGGTGACCACCACCGACGCCATGTTGCGTGGCGGCAGGGGAGCAAGCTGCGTCGCCGGGCGGTCGATCACCCCACAATCCTCCAGCCCGATCCGGCCAACGATGAAGGGGACGAGCAATGAGGTCCCAGGAGCGGCCGGGCAAAGTCGGACTGCAACAGCGTATCGACCGTTGGGTCGGACAGCTTGACGATCGCCGCTCGCGCCGCCACGGCAGCCTGGTCGGCCGCCGTCTCATATTTTGCGATTAGCGTGCCGTTGCCACGGATCAGGCTGTTCGCCGGCAGCCGTGCGGCGCAGACCCGGCCCGTTCGCGCAGGATATCGGGCATCGCGACCAGCGTCATCGCCTCTGCTTCCGGCGCGGTGATGCAGGCACGCTGTTGCCATCGCCGCTTCGGGCGCGCTCATGCCGATCAGTGCGAGGGCCGGGCCGAGCCGCTCATGCCCTGCGCCCCATGGGCAGGCGGACTGTGGCGACCGCACGGGTCGCGATGCCTTCGCCGCGTCCGGTAAAGCCGAGGCGTTCGGTCGTTGTCGCCTTCAGGCTGACGCGGCTCTGGTCGATCTGAAGCAGGGGCGGCGATCCGCTCGACCATGGCGGCGCGATGCGGGCCGATCTTGGGCGCTTCGCAGATGATCGTCAGGTCGACGAAATCGATCCGTCCGCCCTTATCGGCGATCAGCTTGGCGGCGTGTTGCAGGAATTGGCCCGACTCGGCACCCTTCCATTGCGCATCGCTAGGCGGGAAATGCGTACCGATATCGCCGGCGGCGATCGTACCGAGCAGTGCATCGGTCAGCGCGTGGAGCGCGACATCGGCATCGCTATGCCCCTGACAACCCCTGATGATGCGGGATGAGAACGCCGCCGAGCCATAGCTCCTCGCCATCCCTCCAGCCGGTGAACGTCGAAGCCCGCTGGCGGTCCGGGTTTCCCATGCAGGGGCGCATGTCGGCACCAGCCATGTCATCAGGATACGTGATCTTTTCGAGCATCGTATCGCCCTGCACCAAAGCGACGCGCCCGCCAAGCCGTCGCACCATTTGCGCATCGTCCGTGGCTTCGCCGCCTCCGCCGGCCAGTGCGGCATGGGCGGCGATCACGGCCTGCAAGTGAAAACCCTGCGGCGTCTGGACGCGTACCACCCCGTCACGGGGCACGGTCTCGCCCAGAGTGCCGTCTGCGTCACGGGCGAGCGTGTCTGCCACGGGCAGCACCGGCATGGCCCCCATCCGCCGAGGCGGAGGCCGGCGAGCACGCGGTCGATGACGTCATGTGACAGGAAGGGGCGGCCGCGCGTTGGATCAGGACCTTCGTCACCTCCAGCGCCAATTGCCGAAGCCCCAAGGCAACCAAACTTTCGCCAGCTGGCGCCACCGGCGGCAATATCGGCGGGTGCAGCGTCCGGGCAAATCGATCTGATCGCCCGCGACCATCGTCAGGACGGTGGCGATGGCCGGATGCGTACCGGAACGCGTCATGGCTCGAGCGCGCATCGGGCGTCCGCCCAGATCGCGTTTCGTGCCGCCACCCATGCGCGTGCCGCCGCCCGCCGCGACGATCAGCGCGGCGATCTTTTCCGTCTGGCTCATGGCCTTCGCCTAACGGCTTTTGGGCATGGTGGGCAACATTGCCTTTCGCTGCGGTTTGGATTACACGGCTGCTCATTTTTCAGGCAGTTTATGCGTAACCTCGCTCCCATTCAGGTCGGTCGGTGACGATCGATAGCCCCGTCGTTCTGGCGCCGATGACCGGCGTGACCGATTTGTCTCGTTCCACACGCTTGTCCGGCGCTATGGCTCCGGGCCTGAACGTGACCGAGATGATCGCCAGCCCGGGGCCGCAATCGCGACCCGCCAGTCGATCAGAAGGCCGCCGGCATCCGCTGGAAAACCGGTGTCGATGCAGCTGGTCGGCTGCACGCCCTATGAGATGGGGGCCGCCAAGCTGAACGCCGATCAGCGCCGCGATCATCGACATCAATATGGGCTGCCGGTGCGCAAAGGTCGTCAATGGCGACGCGGGCTCGGCACTGATGCGCGACCTGAAGCTGGCGTCGGAGATCATCCGCGCGACGGTCAAGGCCGTTGACGTACCGGTCACGCTGAAGATGCGCATGGGTTGGTGCCGCCTGACCCAGCCTGAACGCCCCAGAACTTTCGCGCGCATTGCCGAGGATATCGGGGTGAAGATGATCACCGTTCACGGCCGCACTCGCAACCAGATGTATAAGGGGATCGGCCGACTGGGGCTTCATCCGTAACGTCAAGGAGGCGGTGAGCATCCCCGTCATTGCCAATGGCGATATCTGCTCGATCGATGATGCCGATACGGCGCTCGACCAATCGGGGGCGGATGGCGTGATGATCGGGCGCGGTGCCTATGGCCGGCCTTGGCTGCTGGGGCAGGTGATGCACTGGTTCGCAACCGGCGAGCGGCTGGACGATCCGTCGCTTGACGAACAATATCGCGCGGTCGCCGAACATTATGACGCGATGCTCGACCATTATGGCACCGAGACCGGGGGTCAACATGGCGCGCAAGCATATCGGCTGGAGTACACGCGCGGCCTGCACAGCTCGGCCGAGTTCCGCAACAAGGTGAACCGGGAACCGAGCGCCGATCGCGTGAAGACGATGCTCCGACTTCATGCCGCAGATCGAGCTTGCCGCTGCGGCCTGAACCGCCCGTCACGGTCGACCCGGTTTTGCGGCGCTGTTCGCCGCATTGCCCGTGCCGTGGTCGTGGTCGATCCGGATGACCGGATCGCCCACGCCAATAACAGCCGAGCAATTGCTGAACCTGTCGAACGGCTGATGATCGGTCAACCGCTGAACGCCATCCTGCCCCCGCCGATGCGCCCCGCAGCCGCGACGGACGCATGGCTTTGCGGTCTATGATACCGTCATCACCATGCCGCACGGTCCCAAAGATCCGGGTGGATTTCGTGGAGGCGCAAATCCCCGATCATCCCGGCTGGCGGGCGATCGCTGCACAGCGCGGGGCCCTCGCGGCGACTGGGCCCATGCCTCCGACAAGCGCCGGCGCACGCGCGGCGGTGGGTGCGGCGGCAATGCTGGCGCATGAGATCACAGAACCCGCTGTCGGGCATTCGGGGCGCGGCCCAGCTGCTCAACGGGGCAGAACTGACGACGTTGATCACCACGAGGTCGACCGGATCGCCGCGCTGATCGACCGCATGCAGGATTTCAGCGATACCCGGCCGCTGCCGCTGGCGGCAGAGAATATCTATCCGCTGCTCGCCCATTCACGCGGCGTGGCGCTGGCGGGGTTCGCTGGGGGATCGAGATCGAACGTTTCGATCCGTCGCTTCCCCCGGCGCGGATCAACCGGGATGCGCTGCTCCAGATCGTTATCAATCTGCTCAAGAACGCCCGGAAGCGGTGCCGGGGAACGCAATCCGCGGATCATCCTGACCACCGCCTATCGCCACGGCATGTCGGTCAGCATCGGGTCAGGACAGGAGCGGTTGCCGCTGCCGATCGAAATCTGCGTCATCGACAATGGCCCCGGTGCACCGTCCGATATCGTCGACCATCTGTTCGACCCGTTCGTATCCGGCCGTCGCGAAGGGCAGGGGCTGGGCCTTGCCCTTGTCGACAAGCTGGCGCGCGACATGAACAGGATCATCAATATGCCGGGGAGGGTTCGCCCGAAATGACCGTGCTGCGCCTGTTGCTTCCGGGGCCCGGGCATGAGCCATGTGCTGGTCGTCGATGACGACGCCGCCATCCGCACCGTCGTAGGCCAGGCCTTGCGCCGCGCAGGGCATGAGGTGACGACCGTCGAGACGCTGGCGCGGCTCGACCGGCTGTGACCGGTGGGGCGCCGGATGTGCTGGTGACCGACGTGATCCTGCCTGATGGCGACGGGATCGACCATATTCGCGGTGTAGCCGCACGCTCCCCGCACTGCCGATCATCATCCTGTCGGCCCAGAATACCCTGACGACGCTGTACGTGCGGCCGAAGTCGGCGCTTATGAGTATCTGCCCAAGCCCTTCGATCTCGATGCTTTGACCAATGCCGTCGCAGGGGCGCTGGCCCGGGGTGGCGTGCTGGTCGAGGATGGCTTGGGCGAGGATGATCGCGCCCTGCCGCTGATCGGCCGGTCGCAGGCGATGCAGAGCGTCTATCGCATCATCGCGCGGGTGGTCGCCACCGACCTGACCGTCCTGATCTCAGGAGGCAGATCGGTACCGGCAAGGAGCTGGTGGCGCGCGCGATCCACGATCTGGGCCCCGCCGTGCCGCGCCGTTCGTCGCGATCAACATGGCGGCGATCCTCGCGAGCTGATCGAGGCCGAGCTGTTCGGGCATGAGCGCGGCGCCTTTACCGGCGCGGCCCAGCGCAACGCGGGGGCGGTTCGAGCAGGCGGCGGGCGGCACCCTGTTCCTCGACGAGATCGGCGACATGCCGATGGAGGCGCAGACCGGCTGCTGCGCGTCCTTCAGTCCGGAAGCGAATTCACCACGGTCGGCGGCGCGTACCATCCGCACCGACGTCCGCATCGTCGCTGCGACCAATCGCGACCTGAGCCAACAGGTGGCGTCCGGCCAGTTTCGCGAAGACCTGTTCTACCGCCTCAACGTCGTGCCGATCGCCTTGCCGGCGCTGCGCGAGCGGCGACAGGATATCCCCTGCTGGCGCGGCACTTCCTCGAAAATGCCGCCGCAGGGGCTTGCCGCGTCGCAAGATCGTGCGCAGGCTCTCGACGTGCTTGTCGTCCATGACTGGCCCGGCAATGTGCGCGAGCTGGAAAATCTCATGCGCCGGCTGGCGGTGTTGGCGCGCGACGAAAGTGATTGATGCCGAGGCGATCCGTACGATGCTCGGCGAAACCTTCCATTCGACGACCGCTGGGTCGGGGGCGTGCAACCGTACCCGATCTGGCTGCGGCGGTTCGGGCCTATCTGGCGCGTTTGGCGATCGAGCGGCCCTTGCTACTCGACGATGGCACGCTTTATGACCGGGTGATCGGTGAAGTGGGCGTCCGCTGATCGGGCGATGCTGGCGCGCCATGGCGGCAATCAGCTGCGGACTGCGCGGGCGATGGCGTCAATCGACGCTGCGCAAAAAAGGCTCGACAGCAGAACATCTCGGTTTCGCCAGACGAAGAAGGGGGCCGATTACGATTGTGTCTTGCAGGTCACGCTATACGTTGTACGATTGCAACGATGTTGGCCTTTTGAAGCCTGCTGATCCTACCGACACGCCGCGTAACCGTTTTGCGGTGACGCCGGCGATCGAGATCGTGGTGATCGTCGGCGCCGTTGCCATCGCCATCGGCACCTATTGGTTCATCGCCCACCGCACCGATGCACAAGGGTTGATCGCACCGCCCGTTATCGCAGGATTGCTGGCGCTCAATCTGGTCCCCGGTATTCTCCTGCTGATGTTGCTCGGTCGCCGGGTGGCGATGCGGCGGGCGGCCCGCGTCGGCGGTTGGCGGTGGCGGCAGGCTGCATGTCGCTCGTCGCGATCTTTTCGCTGACCGCCAGTGTCCTGATCCTGCTGACCGTCGTCACCGCATCGATGATGTTTTCAGTCCTCGGCCGAGTTCTGGATTTCCGATCGGGCGCGCAAGGCGTTCGGTGACGCGATGAACATCGCGCGGCAGTCGCAGCAGCAGATCATCAATCGTTGGGTCTTTGCCGGTAGGGCCATGTCGCAGGATCTGGGCCGCAACCTTCCGGTGCTGCGCGCGAGAATCGGCGCGATTTCCACGACTATCTCGTCCAGCAGACCATCGTGCGCGACATGGAGAGGCGGTGCTCTTCTCCTATGACGCCAAACAGAAGTTCAAATTCTACGATTTCTTCAATCAGCCTTCGGACGCCACCTTCCGTGAGCTGGTGACACACCGGAAATGATCGGCCGGGCGAGCCGTTCCAATCGGCCCGGGGTCGGGATCAATGAACAGCGCGTATGGGGTCGTCACGCCCTTGCCCGACAGCAGCGGCATCATGCTCTATGTCGGAACCAGCGTGAATGCCGAGTTCCTCAGCAAGCAGCACTTCGCCGCCGAGGATGTCGTGGACGGTTACCGGGCGCTGCGGGGCCGGGCGCGCTCGCTCCAGTTGAAGTTCAATCTGGCGCTGTTCGCCGTCGCGCTGCTGATCGTCGGTATTGCGGTATGGATCGCGTTGGCGGTAGCGGACCGGTTGGTGCGCCCGGTCGGCGAACTGGTCGAGGCGGCTCGTCGGATCGCAGGGGGCGACCTGACCGCGCGCGTGCCCGATCCCCGGACGCGCGACGAAGTCGGCACGCTCGCCAATGCTTTTAATCAGATGACTGGCCAGTTGGAGCAGCAGAACACCGGAACTGGTCACCGCCAATGCGCAGTTGGACAATCGCCCGCGCGCTGATCGAGGCGGTGATGGCGGGCGTTTCGGCAGGCGTCATGGCCGTCGGGCGCGATCGGCGGGTGCGGATCGCCAACAATTCGGCGGACCTGCTGCTCGGTGCCGATGAGGGCGGTCTGGTCGGCCGGAAGCTGGGCGAGGTCGCGCCTGAGCTGGACGAACTGCTCGATCAGGGACGACGCGGGCGACGGTGCAGATCGCGCTTCATGGCGATATGCGTGCCACGGCGGTGCGGATCGCGCAGACCGGCGATGGCCCGATCTGACCTTCGACGATATCCCAGCAATTGCTGGATCAGCGCCGTGCCGCTGGTCCGACGTCGCCGCCGCATCGCGCATGAGATCAAGAACCCGCTGACCCCATCCAGCTCGCGGCGGAACGGCTGCAGCGTCGTTATGGCAAGGTGATCGATCCCAGGACGAGACGTTCGGCCCGCCTGACCGAGACGATCGTCCGACAGGTGGGCGACTTGCCGGCGGATGGTCGACGAATTCTCGTCCTTTCGCGCGCATGCCCAAGCCCGTTTTTCGCGAGGAGGCGATCGCCGATATCTGCGCACAGGCGATGTTCCTGCACGAGGTCGCGCATCCGAGATCCGGTTCGAGCTTGTTCAGGACGATCCGGTCCCCTCCCTCGTCTGCGACCGCCGACAGATGAGCCAGGCCCTCACCAATATCGTCAAGAATGCGGTGAAGCCATTGAAGCGAGGCCTGAAGGGAACCCAGGATGGCAAGGTTCTGATGATCGTCGGCCAGCAGGCGAGCATGGTCACGATCACGGTCGCCGACAATGGCGTCAGTCTGCCGCCCGAACGCGATCGCATCATCGGAACCCTATATGACGACGCGGGCGCGGGGGCACGGGGCTGGGCCTCGCGATCGTCAACAAGATTATCGAGGAACATGCCGGCACGATCGGCTTTTCCGACAATCCGACTGGCGGCACGATCGTGTCGATGATGTTCGATGCCGGCGCCCTCGCGGCGCTGGACGGGGGCGCCGAACCTGAACTGGCCGGGAGGCCAGCTCACCGCTTTGACTCGTACCCGGACGTAAAAGACCATGGCTTTTGGACATTCTCGTCGTCGATGACGAACTCGATATTCGCGAACTCGTCGCGGGTGTGCTGGAAGACGAAGGCTATGAGGGTTCGCGTTGCGGCCGATAGCGATTCGGCGCTGGAGGCGGTGGCGGTGCGGCGTCGTCGCTCGTCCTGCTCGATGTGGCTGCAAGGGTCGAAGCTGGACGGTCTGGAACTGCTCGACGAGATCAAGCGGCGTGATCCATCGATCCCGGTGCTAGTAATCTCGGGGCACGGCAATCTTGACACGGCGGTGGCGGCGATCCGCAAGGGGGCGGCCGACTTCATAGAGAAGCCCTTCGAGGCCGAGCGCGCTTGTTGCTGATGGTCGGCCGAGCGACCGAGACCGAGTGGCTGCGGCGCGAGAATGCCTCGCTGCGCGCCAGTGCCGGGCGCGAAACCGATCTGACCGGCTCGTCCAACGCCATCAACGGCATCCGCGCAACGCTGAAGCGTGTGGCGGCGACGGGCAACCGGGTGTTGATCATGGGCTCGGCAGGCGTCGGCAAGGGAAGTGGCGGCGCGTCTTCTCCATGGCTGGAGCAACCGGGCGAATGCGCCGTTCGTGGTGGTCAGCGCCGCCCGTATGACGCCCGAGCGGGTGGAAGAGGAGTTGTTCGGGGTGGAGGAGGGAGACCTTGTCCGTACCGGCCTTTCGGAGCAGGCGCATGGCGGTACTTTGTTCCTCGACGAGATCGCCGACATGCCGATCGCGACCCAGTGCGCGTATCCTGCGTGTCCTGACCGATCAGAGCTTTAGCCGTGTCGGGGGCACCCGCGTGGTGAAGGTCGACGTCCGCGTCGTCTCCGCCACCGCACGCGATCTGACGCGGGAGATTGCCGAGGACGTTTCCGCGAAGACCTCTATTACCGCCTCAACGTCGTGCCGGTGACTATCCCGTCGCTGGCCGAGCGGCGAGGACATTCCGCCGCTCGTCGAGCATTTCATGGCGCATTATGCCGCCGAGCGCCGGGTGCGCACGCCGGAAATCGCGCCGGACGCGATGGTGGCGATGCAATCCTATGACTGGCCGGGCAATGTCCGCCAGTTGCGCAACGTCGTCGAGCGAACGATCATCCCGGCGCCCGGCGACCGGATCGGGCGGATCGACCTCGACCTTCTACCGGCCGAAGTGCTGGGCGACGGGGGCCGATATGGGCGGAGGCGGGGCGACCGCGATCATGGGGGGCGCGCCCGGGAGGCCCGAGAAAGCTTCGAGCGGGAATATCTGCGCATCCAGATCCGTCGCTTCTCGGGCAATATCTCGCGCACGGCGAGCTTTATCGGAATGGAGCGCTCGGCGCTTCACCGTAAGTTGAAACTGCTGGGGATCAGCGAGACGCGCGAGGAATGATCGTGGCGGGGACAGAGCGACCTCTGGACGAATGCCCGCCAATCCATAGATATCGGACGCGCTCGGTGCACGGGCGTGGTTCCGACGCCGGGAAACGGCGCAACTCGCGGGCACGGACCCGCCAAGAACAAGGGCTCTTCCATGGCCGACAAATCGGGTTCGCTGCAGGACCCTATTTCTGAACGCGCTGCGCCGTTCCAAGGCGCCCGTCACGATGTTCCTCGTCAAAGGGCGTGAAGCTTCAGGGCATCGTTACTGGTTCGACAATTTCTCCGTGTTGCTGCGCCGTGATGGCCAGTCCCAGCTCATCTACAAGCATGCCATTTCCACGATCATGCCGTCAGGTCCGCTCGACGTCGCCGCGATCGTCGAGGGGCATGAACGAGCATCAGAAGAAGCAGCCGCTATCCGGAAATCTTCCTGAACGCGGTGCGCAAGTCCGAAGACCCCGTCACGATGTTCCTGATCAACGGCGTGATGCTGCAGGGTCAGATTGCGGGCTTCGACCTGTTCTGCATGCTCCTGCAGCGGGAGGGCATGGCGCAGCTCGTCTACAAACACGCCGTTTCGACCATTCCAGCCGGCCCGGCCGCTGGGCCGCCGAAAGAACAGGCGGGATCGGCCGAGATTGAGCACAGGGATTTGACCGCGATCGCGGCGATTTGCCCGCGGTGCCCGCACCGTCATCGTTCTTCCCGATCAGGGCGATGCGGCCCGCGACGCTGAGGCGAGATTGGACGAAACCGCCAGTCTCGCCATGGCGATCGGCTTGATATGGTCAGCGGATCATTGCGGGTCCGTTCGCCCAAGCCCGCGACGCTCATTAGCAGCGGCGAGGTCGAACAGGTCGCGCAGCAGGTCCGGATGGAAGAAGCGCAACTGGTCGTTTTCGACGGTTCGCTCACCCCGGTCCAACAGCGCAATCTTGAAAACCACGCTGGAAGCAAAGGTCATCGACCGGACCGGCCTGATCCTCGAAATCTTCGGCGGAGGCGTGCCGCGACCGCCGAAGGCGATTACAGGTCGAACTGGCGCATCTCGACTGCCGGGCCGGGCGTCTGGTGCGAAGCTGGACTCATCGGAACGGCAGCGGGGGGCTTCGGCTTTCTCGGTGGCCGGGTGAAAACGCAGATCGGGGCCGATCGTCGGATGATCCGCGATCGCATGGCGCGATTGCGGCGTGAGTTGGATCAGGTCAGCCGGACACGCGGACTCCATCGTGATCGGCGGCAGCGGGCGCCATGGCCGATAATCGCGCTGGTCGGCTATATGAACGCGGGAAGTCCACGCTTTTCAATCGGTTGACCGGCGCTCATGTCATGGCGAAGGATCTTCTCTTCGCCCACTCGACCGACTTTGCGCCAGATTCAGCTTCCCGGCATCGATAAAGGCGATCCTGTCCGACACGGTAGGCTTCGTCTCCGATCTGCCGACGCAGTTGGTGGCGGCGTTCAAGGCGACGCTGGAAGAGGTGGTGTCCGCCGACCTGCTGATCCATGTGCGCGACATCGCGCATCCGGACAGCGAGGCGCAGCGCGCCGATGTCGAGCAGTTCTGACCGAGATCGGCGTCGATCCCAGAAACGCCGCGGGTTCGAGGCGTGGAAACAAGATCGATCTGGTCGAGGGCGAACTGCGCGAAGACCACCTGCTCGCCGAAGCGGGGCGACGCCCCCATATCGTCGCCGTGTCGGCGATGAGGCGGCGAGGGATCGACCAGTTGGTCGAACAGGTTGCTGCCGCGCTGACCTCGGGCCATAGGCGTTACTGGATCACGCTGGACGCCGGCGACGGGGCGGGGGCCGCTTGGCTCCATGCGCATGGCGAAGTGCTCGATCAGGTGATCGAGGGGACGGAGGCGACCTGTGAGGTTCGCCTGTCCGAGTCCGATTATGAGCGCTTCAACCGTCGCGGTGCTTGACGCGCTGCCATGGGGCTTCCTTGGCGTCGAGGTCGAGATCGGCGAATGTTTCGCCGGCCTCGGCCTCCATCGCGCGGAAGCGGCGCTCGAACTTGCCATTGGCGGAACGAAGTGCCGCCTCCGCATCGATACCGCGATACGGGCCCAGTTCACGACGGAAGAGCAGGTCGCCGAATTCCTCTTCGGGGTTTCCGGTCCGCCTCGGCGATTTCCTGCAATTCCTCGTCGATCTTCGCGCGGGGACCGCTTTCATCAGGCCATTCAGATCCAACCCGCGCCGCGCGTTTTCTGAAGCTTTTCCGCGCGCATCAGCGCCGGCAGCCCCAAAGGCCACACCATCGAGCGCCACCCGCCGCCTTGGCACGACGTTCCTCCGCCTGATCTGCTCTCCCAGAGATGATGCCGCCTTCGGCCGTTTCGCCGAAGATGTGCGGGTGGCGGCGCTCCATCTTGTCGCTGATCGCTGTGACCACGTCAGGGAAAGCGAAATGCCCTAGATCTTCGGCGATTTGGGCATGGAAGATGACCTGAAGCAGCAGGTCGCCGAGTTCGTCCTTCAGCTCCGCCATATCGCCGCGTGCAATGGCATCGGCAACCTCATGCACTTCCTCGATGGTGTGGGCGCGATGCTCCTCGGCTTTGCGCCACATCCCATTCGCAATGCCTGTGGCGAGGTCGCGAAGTCGCTTCATGATCGTGAGCAGCCGCTCCATCGATTCAGTCCTTGCCGGTAACAATCGGACGGCGTCGCAAGGAGAATGGCGAAGGGCGCCACTTGGGTTCGCGACGGGCGCGGGTCTCAATGGGTGTCGGAATAAGGGTTGTCCGGGCGGCGACGGCCCCATGTCCGATTGGGTCGCGCCGTCATTCGGAACGCCAGCGTACCGCCGTACGATCTCCTCGTGCCGGATATAACCGCAGACAACGGCCGACCGTTAAGCGTTACCGATCCGACATAGCGATTGGCATCGCTTGGTCCTCTGCCGTGATTACGAACCGCTTGCCGTTGGGCGGGTTGAGCACCGTGCGGCGAAGGAAGGGGCGACCGATGACATATTGGTTGGTCCCGGGGTGACCGGGTAGAAGCCGATTGCCGTGAACGCCAGCCACGCCGACATCTGGCCCAGATCGTCATTGCCGGACAGGCCATCGGGCGTGGGCTTGCACGGCTGTCGACGATCTGCTTCAGCCGTTCCTGCGTCCGCCATGGCTGCCCGGCATAGCTGTAGAGATAGGCGACATGGTGGCTGGGTTCGTTGCCATGAATATATTGGCCGATCAGGCCCGCAATATCCTCGGCATGGCTATAGTCGAGCTTGGAATTGTCATAGTCGAACATGCGATCGAGCTTGGCGACCACCGCCGCGTCGCCACCCATCGTCTGGAACAATCCGGCCTGATCGTGCGGCACGAACCAGCTATATTGCCGGCATTGCCCTCGGTATAGTCGGATCCATAGTTGATCGCGGTAGGATCGAACGGTTCGCGCCAACTGCCGTCGGCCTTGCGGGCGCGCAGGAAGCCGATCTTCGTATCGAAGCTGTTGCGCCAGTTGCCCGCGCGCTTTTGTGAACTCGGTGACGATGTCGCGCCGTCCCATCGCCGCTGCCATGGGCGATCGCCCAATCGTCGCAGGCATATTCGACCGTCTTCGATGCCGCTTCGGGTTCGCGATCGATCGGAACATAGCCGCGCTTCATATATTCGCCCGAGGCCGCCATGGGGCGCGTACCGCGCGCTCGCGACCATCGCGTCGAGCGCGGCATCGGCGTCATAACCTCTGATGCCCTTCATATAGGCGTCGGCGATGACGGGAACCGCGTGATAGCCGATCATCGTCGTGTTTCGCGTCCATGGAATTGCCAGACCGGCAGGATGCCATCAGGGCTGTTCTCGCGGCTGGCGATCAGCGACTGGATGATCTCGGCATTGACCTTTTCCGGCTGGATCAGGGTGAGCAGCGGATGCTCGGCGCGGAACGTATCCCAGAGCGAGAAGGTGGAGCGAAGGTGAAACCCTGTGCCCGTGCGCCGATCGTCCGGGCCCGCGATGGCAACCGTCGCTGTCGCTCAGATGCTGGGCGCGAAGCAGGCTGTGATAAAGCGCCGTGGCGACCATCCGGCGCATGGGGCGGGACCCTCCATCGATCGCGCTGCCTCGGGTCGACGCGTTGGTCCGGCCGGATCGCATCGATTGCCCAGCTCGCTGTCGAGATTTGGCGATCGCGCCTGCCTCGTCGACGCCGGAGATCGACCTTCACCTCGAGCGGTCGGTCGAGCTTTTCCGAAAATCAAGCCGTGCCATCAGTGCGCGGCCCAGTCTTCGGCCACCGCGTCGCTACCGCGCCCGGGGCCTGAAATCCCTTATAGGCTATATCCGCCTCGCAGTTCACCGCGCATGAGCGACCAGCGGCGCGGAAAAGCGCATGGCGAAGAAGACCCGGCGCCGGCGCCGCGCACGTCTCACGAAAGCCGGTTGAAGTGTCCCATCGGGCGCAGCAGCCAGCCCGGACCACAGGATCTTGCACAGATAATTGTAGAGCGAGGAGCGGAGGTCGATAACGGATGCGCGGCCTTATCAGCAGGAAAGCTGTAGCGGTGAACGCCCGCGCGCGTCGCCGCCGTCAGTTCAACTCGCACCCCGGGCGATCAACGTCACCGCATAATGGCCGGGACGCGTCACCTCGGTCGCGTGACGAAAGGGGGAGCGATAGCCCGGCTTGTCTGGCGTCCCCAGGTCCATTGGAACATCGTCGCCGGACACTGGCGCGACGAGCAGATCGCCCAGATCGGAATGCCCCGCGCCCGAAATGGGTGTGGCTGAAACCCTCGATCGTCGGATCGTCATGCCGATAACCCGCCGCATGGCCATAGCATTCGCGCAGGGCGCATTGCGTGTCGGTATCCGGCGAAAGCTGCACCATGCCGAACGGCGCCACGGCCCCAGGGGAACGTATGTCCCTCTCCGCTCGTGCCGATAAAGGGATCGACTTCGTCCACCGTGGCGCGCTGTGCCCGAAGCGCTGGCGAAAGCATCGAAGGGACGGGATCATCCACGCATCGTCATCCGCCCCACTTTATTGGCTTTACGGGGCCATCTTCCCGATACGCGCCGTCTTGCCAAGACCATCCGGGGATCGCGCCATGGCGATAAGTGGATCATTTACTATCAAAAGACCCCCGCAGTGTCACTCTTCGCGGATATCGGGAAGCTGTAGACCGAGGGGCGTCGTCCTTCGTTCCTTGGCGAACACCGCCACATCACTGAAAACACCTCAAGCTTGGCCCAGCGATCCCAGCCGATATGGATGAAGTCCGGCCGTCCGAAGACCTGCACCGCGCGGAGATATTCGTCGCCGCAGCCCACGAAGTGCAGGGCCATTCGAAAAAACCTACGAAATTTGCGCCGCGCACAGACGGTCATGCGACGGACGATCATCAACGTCGAGGGCGTCGGCACAAGCCGCGATACGCCCCATCCGGCGAGCGCACCGACACCCGCCAGACTGGTGGCGACACCGAAGCTTGGAACAGATCGCGCTGCCGAGAGGTGAAGAACTCGCGTCGGCTGTCGATCGCGCGGTCGGTCGCATCGCCGTCGATGCGCGCCGGGGCTGGGACAGCTCAGTCAGGTTGCCCGGCTTTTCGCCGATCGGGCCGCCCAGTTGATCCTCGGCGAAGCTGCTTCCGCCTGCCGATCAGCGAAGCCCCCAGGCGAAACGCACGGGCGATGGCCATTTGAAAGGTCGAGCGTCCCCCAGATTTCACGCTCCGGGCTTTTCGTAAGCCGACACGATCGCCGGCGCACAGCCGGGGTCGAAAAAACGGATCAGGTAGCACCTGTTCGCGACCGGTGTGATTGCAGGCCCAACCGGGCTGCGGCGTGTTGACGGCCGGCAGATGAACGACGGTCAGCGTGACCGGCACCTTGTCGGCAATCAACTCCGCCCGCAGGAATCGGTGAAGCCGGAAACCGCGAACTTAGCCGCGCAATAGGCGGCACAGGTAACACCGCGCGGATACCGAGGCCGGACGACGGATGATGGCGCCGCGCCATTTCTCTCTCGGTTTCATGTACCGCAAAGCGGCAAGCGTGCCGTGCACTTGGCTGAGAGATAGGTCGTGGCGGTGACGCGCTGATACTCGCTGGCGCTGATCCGATCAGCGGGGGCGACCACCGTCGACATGGCGTTGTTGACCCGGGCATCGATCGGGCCGAGTTCACGCTCGATCCGGTCGGCGGCGGCATCGACGTCCACCGCATTGGCGACATCAGCGCTGATCGCCAGTATCTGGCCGCCATATTGGGACAACATGGCGCGCGTCTTTCCAGCCGTTGGGCGTCTCGCGCGACGATCGCGACATTCCATCAGCCTTTGCCAGCCTCTCCGCCGGCGGTAACCCAATACCTGCGCTGCCGCCCGTCACCACTGCTGTGCCCGCCATCATCATCTTGTCCGGTTGCACTTGCCCGACGCGCGTGATGATTGGTTTCCCTTCGTGAGAAACAACTCCACCGGATAAAGGCGTCACAGAAGCAGACGGGACGCGTGCGTCTTTAATGAATATCGGGGTTGGAAGGCCGATCGCAGTCCGCAACGTCTGAAGAAGGAAAAGCGCGGGCGCCTCGACCTGCAGGGTGGTGGCCCAACTCCTTCAACCCGGATCAGTTGTGCGCAGGGGAATGCGCGTCACTGCCTCTTCGGCGGCTGGGGAACAGTGCGGACGCGCGTGCACGGCGGTGCGGTGTTGGCGCGAAAAGGCGGTCGCGCTGCCCGATGATAAAGCGCGACCGGCATGGTCAAACGCGGCAGTTCGGCGGCGATGGGCTGGGTTTCGATCATATCGGACAATCGCCTGCGCATCGCGAACGATGTCGCCGTCGTCGCTGACATATTGTCCAGCAAACATCGCGACCCAGCGGTCATAGGCGGGATGCCACTCACCCAGTAATAGTTGCGCCGTTGATAGGCGCGAATCGACGCGGCATCGGTCTTGGCTTCCTCGGCGCGGAGGCGGCCGAAAGGGATCGGTATGGGGCACGCCTTCGCCCGGCATTATCATTCAGCCCGGCGGGTTCACGAGGACGACTTGGCAACACGCTGGGGATGAGGGCGCAAACCGGGTGGCGAGGATACCGCCGGTAAGTGACCTACAAGCGTAATTCTCTGCACGCTTGCTCGATCAAGCAACCCTGCGGTCAGCGCGGCCATGGCATGTGGAAGCTGTACTGATAGCCCGCGGGCTTCGAGGTTTGAAGCCGACCTGATCGGGCGCGATGACCCGGTAGCCGGCGGCGAAGCCCATTCGCCGTTTCGCCCGGGTCGCGGCGCAGAAGTTCTTGCCGTGGAGAAGGACCACCCGTTTCGCCATTCGCAGCGGCGGTAGGGGCGATGTCGAGATAGGCCATGCGGACGGGCCGGTCTTGCGAATTCATTTCGAACCAGCGAACTGGTGCGGGATAGTCGAACCGCTCGGATTGGCACCGAGCGGCTGCGGTCTGTGCGGCGGCGGGAAGGGCGGTCAGGCAGGCGAGGGGCGGTGAGAAGGGGCGCATGACAGGCCGAACCCCGACCGGCAAAGCATATCTGGCTCGCCGCCGCATCATCGGATGGTCAGCGCCAGGTGACGACCGGCACGACGCGCGCATCGGTCGCGCGGCGCGTCGAGATCGGCGAGACGACGGTCGCGGATGAGCGTGACGACTGAAGGCGAAGCGCGGTCCTTTTGCCGATCGACCGCTCCACCGACGAACCCGGGCTGAGATAGGTCCGGTTACCGCTATCCGGAGCGTAGAAGCCGCCCAGCCGATCCCGCATTGACGGGAAGGAGAGCGTCAGCGCCCCGCTTCGACTTCGGCGATACGCCGATCAGGGTGAAAGATCCCGCCATCGCCTTTGGTGCGCCGGGTCGTGACGAAAGGTCGGCCGCCACCAGCCGATCCCGTCCTTTGTGCTATAGACGGTCGAAAGGCTGGCTTCGTGTCGTCGCGGAGACGTTGTTGGGGCTGACCTTCACCCGCATAAGCGATTGCCGTGGTCAGGCCACTGGACCGGCCGGGCGGCGAGTGCGACGATCAAGGTGCTCTCGTACCAACTGCGGGGGCGACCAGGTTTCCATCCGATGCCGGAGCATGAAGCCGTTTGACGTCTGGCCGATCAGGAACAGCGATCCCTCACCATCCTGCCGCTTCCGCAACGGCCCGCAAAGCCCAATGCGGCGTGAACCGGAAACAGCTGAGATCGGCATTGTCATCGTCATAAGCGCCCGCGCATAATCGCCGTTGCGCAGGTCGACGCTGCCCATCAGGCGCAATGCACCAGGACCGACGCTGGCCGGGCAAGCGTCGCATCCTCGGTA